GGTTTTCAAACGATTGTCCCCCAGCGATGCAGTTCCCTTGGTGGAAAGGAGCCCTTTGTAGGGGCCTGTGAGGACGGAGCTCGGCGGGAGGGTTGATTCCAACGTGGTTGATGGATTTTGGGTTTCCACAGGTCCTCCTCCTCCTCGTCCTCCTCCTGTTCCTCCTTTTCCTCCTCCTCCTCCTCCTCGTCCTCGTCCTCATATTCTTTCTCTCTCTCTCTCTTTGTTTCTTTTTCTCTCTCTTTCTCTCTCTCTCTCTCTCTCGCTCTCTCTCTCTCCTTCCGTAACCATTGACGCGTCATCCAAACGCCCCCGTGCCCGTCACGCGCCCCTGGGCGCGACGGCTACACGGAAACGGTCCCGGCCCAGAGAGGGGGGGGAGGAGGGGGTGTGACCACCCGCACCCTTACTCCACCTGAGGCCTTCGAGGAAACGGATGAGGTTGGTAAAGCGGCGGGGCTTCTCAGTACTGAAGATGAATAGTTGTAGACAGCGTATCTTGCTAGTAACTTTGTGCACGGAGTACCTTGTCTGCAACGTTGTAGACAGAGTAATGATGTATGTGTCATAAGGTGATGTACATACTGGCGATGATGTTGCCTACCGCGCCTGTGAAATGGACGTAGTATCGAATGTAAAGATGTACTTTTATACCTTTGCCCGTCACGCTGCTGCAGTACGTGACCTCGGGCTTCAGCCAGGCAAGCCTCGTCGTATTCTGTATGTCGCCACCAGGTTCGGTAGTTCAGCTGGTGGTCCTTCCTCGTATGTAGCCCTGCTTACGACTCTCGTAGCTCAGCACGTCGCCCTCTTAGTTATGTTTGTGGTTTCCTGCGGATGAAGTAGCGGGGGACGTTGTCCACCGAGCCGTCGGTCCAGCTGACTTTCGATGCCTGGACGCTCAATTCCAGCACCGTGCTCTAGTAGGACTCTCCACCGTACTTGCCCTCAACCGTGCCGCCGATAGCCATCGGCTTCTTGGTAGTCCAGGTCTCCCATGAGCCATGGTGCTCGTTGCACAGCCCGCGTAGTACATCGGTTGGCCCTGGTAGCTCAGCTGATGGCCCCCGGAGTCCTGCATGTGGCTCCCGTAGCTGAACGCGTGGGGCCTGCAGCTCGGCTGATTGTCCTGGTGGCTCTGCTACCCGCGCTCTCGTAGAACAGCAGGTGGTCTTGGTAGCACCTTTGGCGGATCTCAGGGCTCCGCTTGCGGCCCTCGTGGCGCAGCCTGTGGCTCTGTTGGCAGACGGCTCCATTCGGCTCGTGGCCCTGGCAGCTCTGCAGGAGGCTCTCGTAGCTCTGCAGGATAGTGGCCCTCGTAGCTGGGCAGGTGGCCCTCGTAGCTGAGCTGGTGGTTCTCGAGGTGCTGCTCATGATCCTCGCAGTCAATACTGTTCCTCTGGTAGCTCACAACATGGAATCCCAGAGCGAGAAATATACAAAGCGAGACTGCTCTCAGCGCGTTCCGGAAAGGCTCTGCAGGAAGGTGTTGAAAATTTGGGAAGGTCTGCTAGTTCTTCTTGTGGCCCGCGTAGCTCAAGTTGTGGCCCCCTCTGCTTCTTAGCCTCGTAGCTCTGCTGGTGGCCAACGTCGCGTAGCAGGTTGCTCTGGTTGCTCTACTTGTGGATCTCGCAGTTTTGCACTCAGCCCTCGTAACTCTGGTGGCAAGTTGAGGAACCCACATGTGGTGTATTCGTCGTAGCAGTTGTATCAGCCGTGTCCGTTATAGGCGTTGTAGTCGTACTCGTTGTAAGCGGCGCGGCCGTTGTCCACCTGCACCTCCACGACGACGAACTTAGTAACCCCGTCGGGCTGCTCGATCGTGCCGTGCTTGATGCCAATCTTGGTGGCGTGTTTGGTGGCGTAGTGGTGGTGGTTCTCGTGTTCGGGCTGCTTGTTTCGCAGCTCATTCTCGTACTTGGGCTGCCTGTTACGCAGCTCGTTTTCGTACCTGGGCTGCCTTTCACGCTGCCCGTACATGGACGCCCTCGCACGTGCAGCCGTGGCAATGATATTGATGTCGTCGGATCGAGGCTGTATCCGATGTCGCACGTTGTACCCCACTCGTGTTTCTGGGCGGCGTCTGTTCGTGCCCGTGTTCCTCCATGCGTGTATGTTCTCGGCATGCTTACGTGCCGGTACGTCCCCACCAAGGTGGGTAGGAATCGAAGCCCTTACTTAATGTTAAAGGCGTCCGCCTTGTAATTCATGACATTTCGCGTATCCTCACCAGCTACGCTCCCACTCCTAGCGATCCGGAACCCTTCCGTTGAGCGCCTGCACGCCCGCTCGTCGTCCTCGAGTACGTGGACTTCATGAATTTTGCCGTTTTTGTGCTGCACCTCGACCAGTGGTTCCTCCTGGTCCACCGCGTCTCTTGAGCCGCAGCGTAGCTCGCTCCTATGTGCTCTCGTGCGGAATAAAGGCCGTTGCTTGTTAGCCGCGTTTCTCGACGGCGCTTGGCATCCCTGCGCGCTCGCGAACAAAAATAGTATCCCCACCAGCCTGGGTAATTTGGCTCCGCCCATAGCTCGGGTCGTCCTTTGACGCCGCTTGCGTCTTCGCTTGCGGCCGCGACCGAAAAATCTCCACCGGCCCAGCCAAGAACAGATCGCCAGGCGAGTTGCTGCGATCAGGAAAGTGTAAAAGCACGCAGTGCAACAACCGCCTTGGAAGTGATGTCTCGGAGATCTCTTGGAGCCATCTTGGGTCTCTATTGGGTCCTCGCGGAGCCACTTGGGGCACTCGTGGGGCCTTCTTGGGGCTCTGTTGAAGGATCTAGGGGCTTTCTTTGTTCTTTGGGCTCTTTAGGGGGTCTGGGAGGCCTCTGGGGGGCATCTTGGCCCCCGAGGCTCAAAAAGAGAAGGGTCACGGATGCAGCCCCCCCCCCCCCCCCCTCGGAAGCTCAAAAATGTAGTTTTTGGGCCTTCTGAAGCTGTAGCCGTTCTTGGAGCGTTAATGTACGCTCTTGGGGCCATCTTGAAGCCCTCCTGGATTCCTCTTAGGGCTGTCTCGGGCCATCTTGGGCCAGTTTAGGTGCCTCCGAGGTCCATTCGGAAGCGGGCAGGCGAGAAGGCAAACATCATACATTTTACGTAGGTTTGAATGCAATTTGGGCATTTTTTCCCGGGTGTCTCTGGAGGGCTCGGGGGGCATTTGACACCATTTCGGGGCCGTCCTGAGACCTTTTGAGTGTGCGTCGGGCATCTTGAGCCATCTCGAGTTAGATTGAGTCATCCTGGAGGCCATCTTAGGGTCTCAGCGGCCCTCCTGGAGCCATCTTTGGCGATCTTGGGAGCTCGAACGCCTCGCGCCCCCCCCATCCCAGGCCCACGGAAGGGGGCAAGGCAGGGGAAGGAGGGATATGGCAGAGAGAAGACAACTCGTTTAACCACCTACGCCCAGAGGGCTGATGGGACTCAACAACTGGTGGGTGGTGTTGTAGTCGCGGCTGATCACCTTCGTGCCATGGCGGCGCCCCCTGGCCGCGGCCGTGGGTGCGGGGCTGAAGCCAGCCTGCCGGGCGCGCAGCGCGCGCGGGCGGGCGAGCGCAGGGGATGGAGAACGCATTTGGCCTCCCTCCTCCTCCGGATCCTCTGGATCCTCCGGATCAGCACCATCACCATCACCATCATCCTCTTTTTTTCAGGTTGCGCGTGGGATGGTGAGCGCCCCACCCCCCTCCCCCACTCTGGCCCAGCTCCGCAGGAGTGCGCGAGGTCTTGGTTCTGCGACGGGTGCGGCTGCCTGTGGAAATCCGCCAGCTTCGAGAGGAGCCGCCGCCAGGGGCCGGGTGGCGAAGAAGCTTCAGGGGCAGGGTTCGAACCCAGACGGCCGAAGTGTTTTTCTCGTTGCGTCAACCCCCAGAGGCCTGGACCCCTTCCCCAGGACCGGCGTTTCATCCTGAGTCGTTTTTGACGATCCCGAGGCCCGGCAGGGGTCACCGAAGGCTGAAAATGGCGAAAAACCTCCCGTCGTGATTCTTTCGCAATGCGAGGGGGTCTGGGAAGTTTTTGGTTTCGGGTTGTCGTCGGTTCTCGGCGGTGTTTTCTGGCCTCAGGATGCCTTCTGGCGGCTGCCCCTCGCCGACGGCGTCTCGGGAGTTTGCCGAGGTCTTTCCGAACGGCCGCGGGGGAGCAACAATCCAGGGGGCAACGCTAGGGGGGGTGTAGGCTCAGGGGTGATGCATCGACCCCCAATCGCCCATTCGTTGCCGATAGGGGCCGGATGGCCACCCCGCCCAGGAATACGCGGAATCGCAACAATGGGCCCCAATGCCATAGAGAGAGTTTGTGAGGAGAGGGGGTTGGAGCAGGAGCAGGAGGAGGAGGAGGAGGAGGAGGAGGTGGAGGAGAAGAGCCAGGAAGAGGGAGGAGGGCAAAGTGGAGGAGGAGGAGGAGGAGGACGACGACGACGACGACGACGACGAAGAGGAGGAAAAGGAGGCGGAAGATGGGATGATTGTGTCTGAACGATTTTATCGCCACCAGATCCCAGATCCCAGACGGAAGAGGAAAATTTGGTGGACGTGGGTGATGATTAGGAGAGGGCAAGAGAGAGAGAGAGAGAGAGAGAGATTGAGAGACGATGAAAGGGGGACGAGGTGGAGGAGGAGCAGGAAAGGTTGGAGGAGAGGGGAAGCAGAGGGACAAAATAGGAGAAGGGAGTGATCGCATCGTTGCCCCATCACTCTTCTTTGCCGCTCAACCAGCGGTCTGGGGCGTAGCTTAACCAGCGTGTCGCTCCGCCGGTTCTGTCCACCACGCTCCTGCGCGACACGCTATCCACGTCCGAGTCCCCAGGCGTCAGCGTCCCGTGCCTGTCCCAGCCTTCCATCCCGCGGTGCGGAGCGACACGCTGTCCGCTCGCAAGGGATAGCGTGTCGCCTGGGCCGCCGCTGCGACACGCTGAACGCGAGCTCCCAACCGTAACCTCTGCCACCACGCGGGCTCAAGGGGAGCGCTCCTCCGCTCGCGGGTGCGGAGAGGCCGCGCCGTCCACCCCCGCGGCCCCTGGGGGGGGGGGGGGGGGGGGGGGGCGCCGCGGCTGCGGGGATGCAGGGCATCACCGCCTACGACTCGGAGGACCTCGCTGGACGAAGGGAGGGTATCGGGGCTCAGCGCAAACCTGGGCATCGCTCGGACGTGTGCAGTTTGTTCTCGGCGAGAACCATCGAGGACCATCCTGGACCATCGAGCAACAAAAACACGCACGAAACCGAAAAATGCACGGGAAACGGACGTCCGAGCGATGGCAAGTAACGGGGGTCGGCCAACACACCCTCTCTCACCCGGGTTTGTGCACCACGTGGGGCCGATTCCCTCATGCCGCCTTCCGCTGACCCCGACTCTGGAGCACTGAGCGGCCAGAGGCCGGCTTCGCGACTGGGCCCTGGCGCCGACCCGGGTCTGTGTGTTGATTCGGGTTAGTGTTTATCCCGCATTGGGTCGACTGCACGCGAGGGTGACCCTGCGCTGCAGCGACCTTCGGTGCGGTCGCACTGGGGGTCCCCCGATCGCGGCGTGCGATGCGGCCTGCGCGCTTCGGGTTGGCTTCCCTGCGCCCCCCCCCAAAACCGCGCACCGAATGCCGTTCTCGCATTGGGTCACCCTGGCGTGTAGCCGAATTTGGCTTCCCCTCCTGGGGCACGCCAGCAGTTCGGGGTTCGAGGTTTGAGTTTTTCTCGCGTTTTCGTCCGTCCTCGAAGATTTCCCAGCCTCGGGATGCTTTCCAGCAGGTGCGCCTCGCCGAGAGCGTTTTGGGAGTGCCTGGATCGTCCCGAACGGCCGCCAGAGCTCCGAGTTAAGACTCGAAAGCCAAACGACGAGGATCACCCGGGTCGTCAGTCAGAAAGGAGGGAATTGCGAACGGGGGCACGAATCTGCAACATGCGGCTGGTTTCGACTCCGCCGCCGGGCGTTTTCCTCGATACGTTGGCGCCTCACGCCTCCCGCGCCGAGAGGCGCCACGGAAATCGGCTGCGTGAGCCGGTTCGCTTCCCCTCCCTTTGCTACTCCCCCCCTTTCGCCCGACCCCAGAGCAGGAGGAGGAGGAGGAGCAGAAGACGGAACCGAAGCCAGCTCCGGTCGGTGCCCAGGCGACAGCGAAGGGACCCGCCCCGAAGCCGAAGGCCAGCGCACCGCCTTCGTCTGCCGCCTCCGCCAAGAAGGCCCACGTCGCAACCGCTAAGCTGAACCATCTGCGCAAGGAGATCTTGGCAGCCAAGTCCGCCACGGCCACGGTACAGGTGGTGCGGGCAGCCATTGACACCTCCTGGGACTCGCGCTGGGCCGCACAGGCATTGTATTACGTCGCCAAGCGGTCTACGGCACGCACGAGGAAGGAGTGGGCTGCCGACAAGGCTCGGAGGAGGGTCCATGGAGACAGCGGCAGCGCTCCCGCCAAGCCCAGATCCGCTCAAACATCGGCCCCTCCCAGGGTCGGTCCATCCCGACCCGTTGTCCGAGGCGGACTCAGACGTGGGGACGATAGGCCCCCAGGAGGCCCCGGAAGGACGGCAGCCCAGCATCGGCCCCTCCCAGAGTCCGTCCCGACCCGTCTTCCGAGGCGGACCCGTGCGTGGGAACCAGAAGCCCGCAGGAGGCCCAGGAAGGACGGCAGTCCAGCATCGGCCCCTCCCGTCGCCGTCGGGGACGTCCCTCGATGCCTGTTGCTAAGCCTCGACGCTGACCCCCCCCCCCTTCCCCCTCGACAGCCGGGCCGGCTGCGGCTCAGGGTTTCCGCGCAGGTCCTGCCGATGAGCTCCTCCGAGGTTCCAAGAGTCGACGGGCGAAGAACGGTACAAAACAGACGCTTCCGCCGTCGGGACGCCTGTCCCCGACGGCGACGGGTCCGCCCCGAACCCGCTTTTCGAGGCGGGCCCAGGCGTGGGGACGAGAAGACCCCGGGTGGCCACAGCAGGACGAACAGCACCGCGGGCGGGCCGCCGCCGTCTCGACCGGCCCTCCCGCGTGCAAAAGGCCGTGCTGCGACTGGCGGCGAAGCTGCAGGAGGAGGCTGCGGGCTACGGCGTCGCCTCGCGCAGGGACGAGGACGTGGACACGCTGCTGCTGTCGCTGGAGGGCCTGCGGCGCATGGGGATGCAGGAGCCCGAGGCGCAGAAGGACGTTCTCGGGCGCGTCTTCTCGCTGCTCGACGCGGACAGCTGGAGGCACCCGAACAATGACAATAAGTATGGAGCCGAACAAGAAGAAAACGAAAACTTAGAGAACGAGTAATAGTAGCAACAACAAAAACCACAACAACAACAACAACAACAACAACAGCAACAACAACAACAACAGCAACAACAACAACAGCAACAGCAACAACAACAACAACACCCCCAACAACAACAGCAGCAACAACAACAACAACAACAGTAGCAGCAGCAACAGCAACAATAGCAACAGCAGCAACAACAACACACTAATAAGATTGAGACTGTTGGCTCTTGCCTGCTCGCGTGCCATTCAACACGTATATCCCGAATCCTCGATACCCGCCCTCTTCGTCTTCGACCGTACCCCCTTCGGGGCGTACACCTTAGGCGATGCTTAAGAAAACTTAAGTTTTCGACCAGAGTCTCGATTATTCTTAATGTTTCAATGTAAATCCTAAGATTTTAATAGAATGTTGGGTGTTCATTCAGATTCTGAGACTATGAATTTCTTAACCCATGATTTCTAAAGCATTTCGCAGGGTGTATCTCTTTGTACCTGAAACGTGTATTCCGTGCAGTCCCGAAGGCAGGAAAATAGAGAACGGATGGACGGAAGGAGCAAGGGGCAGGCATGCTGCTGAAGTTCGTCCTGCATGGGTCGCAGAGAAGTTCGAGCGATAGCGCGATTGCCACATGATAAATCGTTGGGACATCCACGAGAGCTTGATTCCTGAGTGTCGAGGGCGCGGCGTATGAATAAAGTGCGAGGACGTCCCACGCGAGAGCGCGGTTTCTTTGTAGATTGTGAGGACGTCCCCCGCGAGAGCGCGATTCTGGAATAACGTGTGAGGAAGTACCAGGCGGGAGCCACCGTTGCTACAATCTGGAAAACCAGACATAGCACCCTCCCGAGGTCCGGCGGGACAGCGGGGAAATGGCAAATCGCACCACATGGTTGGGGGCCGGGATACGCGCCCAGTGGCCCGGGGACGGCTTTGGGCCTCAAGTGCGGCATTGTCGTCATATTTGTTAATTTTCACCGCGCCCCCTTTCCAAACGAACCGACGCTCCTCTGTGAAACTGTCGTCACTGCTCAGCCCCCGCGCGAGGCTCCTTATAGAGGGCCCCACAGCCCCCCAGGAGGCCCCAGGCGGCCGCAGGAGATCCCGGGAGGCCCCAGGAGATCCCGGGAGGCCGCAGGCGGATGTCTCGCGCGGGGTCCCAGGAGGCCCCAGGAATGCTCGGGAGGTCGCAGAAGGCCCCAGGAGGCACCAGGTGGTCTCTGGGGGAGGCGCAGGGAGGTCCCAGGAGGGCTCGCGGAAGCCACAGGAGGCCCCAGGACGACCCCTGGTCCATCGCGCTGGAAGGACAGGGAGGAGGAGTAAAAGGAGGAGGAGGAGGAGGAGGAGGAAGAGGACGACGATGAGGAAGGTTGAACCGCAGGATGGATGAGGAGGAAGCGGAGGATGAGCACTAGCAGAGGGAACCACGATCGCCCTAAATGTTCCTCATGCGCACTCATATGTAGGGGGTGGATACCGCTGCGCACGTCTCGGAGATTAGACGTGACAGATCAGTGCGATCCAAAGTTCTGCTTGGAAGTAAACCCGATGTTTGCTGATTGTATGGGTCAAGTGGCAAGAGGAGGCAAGCCAAGAGGGCGAGTAGACCCTACCAGGCGGGTCAGGAAGGAGGGCCCATGTGGCCAGGTCGAGCAGGCGGGTTGCTCAAGCGTGCGTCCTGCATGAATCGCGAGGAAGTCTCGAGCGACAGCTCGATTCTCAAATCAATCGTGACGAAATCCATAGCGAGAGCGTGACTCCTGAATGTCGAGGGCGCGGCGTCTGAATAAGTTGTTCGGAAATCCAGCGCAAAAGTGCGATTCCTGGACAAATTGTGAGGACGTCCCGCGCGAGAGCGCGATGTGGGAATACATTGTGAGGAAGTATTCGGCGGGAGCCGTTGCTGTTGTAGTTCGGGGGCCAACAACGCAGTTTGAGCTGAGTGACTTCCCCTGCTAGAAAACACGGTGCGAGCCCTGGGGGAAGCACTTCAATTGAAAACACACAATTGTCATCGGAGGGGGGATCAACAATCATTATTTTCAGTCGTGAGAATTCTCGCCAACATCAACATCAATATCAACATCAACAACATCTGCACAAACCTCAACTTCCGGAGATCCGCGCGGATTTCTTGGATCGGCGCTGGGCCCCCTTGGCGACGCCTCCAGCGCCCCTGGGGCGCTCCGCGCGCCAGGGAGTGGGGTCCAGCGCCGATCCAAGAAACATCCACGCGGACTCTCGGAGCTGTTGTGTTCGTGCAGACGCTTGTTCCTCCCAGGCATCCAGTGAAGAGCTTGGCCAGACTGTACTGGCTGGGTGCCTCGGTCAAGCTCGAGGGGCGCAAGGAGCTCCCCCAGGAGCTCCGGCGACGGTACGCCGAGCTGAGCGGCCCGGACGCCGCGCTGATCATAGCGGCGATGCAGCACGAGGGAGGGCGCGACGCGGCCCTGCTGCAGAAGGTGCTGGCCAGGCTCCGCAGAGGGCACCTCCGCGCCACCGCCGTGCCTGGCAGAGCCGTCCTGGGCCCCAGGAGCATGCACGTCGAAGAAGAAGAAGAAGAAGAAGACAAAGAGGCAGAAGAAGAAGCAGACGAGAAACGTATACATCGACATAAACTCTCGGATTTCCGCACGGATTCTTGGGATTTGATAGCCCCTTTTCCTCGCGCGCGAATCGTGCGCCAGAGGCGGCGCCGGAGGCACTGCCACGGGGGGGGTCCAGCGCAAGAAGTTTCTACATGCTCGGGCGTACGTCTCCTACCGCCGCACCAAAGCCCCAACAACACCCGAAAGTCAAATGAAGCTTGCTGCGCCCATCCCCGTCCGCATCAACTGACGCGTTGTCCAAACGCCCCCCACCCCCACAGAATTCTAAACGGCCTTCCGCCTGTGGGGGGGACCCTGGGGTGATAAACAGAACGGATGGAGCCTGCTTTGGCTTGGTTTGGCCGCGCGTCCCGCGACATCCTCAAAATATGCCTGGTTTGGCCCCTGGTTTGGGCTTGGTTTCGCTCGAGACGTCCTCAGAATTTGCCTGGTGTGGCTCTGGTTGGGCCTGGTTGTTGCCCAGTTTCGCTTGAGGCATCCTCAAAAGTTGCTTGGTTTGGCTTTAATGTTGGCATGGTTTGGGCTCGGTTTCGCTTGAGACGTTCTCGAAGTCTGCTTGGTTTGGCTTTGGTTTGGCCTGGTTTGGGCCCGGTTTCGCTTGAGACGTTCTCACATGTCTGCCCGGTTTGGCCCTGGTTTGGCCTGCTTCGGGCCCAGTTCGCGTGTGGTGGATCTGTATAAACCGAAGTATCGACCCTGTGAGTTTTGAGTGCCCATTCTGGACGGGCGGAATGGGTATGAACATCCCCAACACGTTGTGAGTCGGCATGGGCGCGCGTGGCGGCGTTAGGAGGAAACCTTCCCGAGCCTGTAGTATACAGTCAAGACGCTGAGACAAGGACCGTTGTTTAGCTCGCGAGGTGCCCCCGTTGTCGTGCCGCTCTTTCGAATTCGGTTGAGGAGTCCAATCGTGGCCGAGGCTCGCCGTGGCCAAGGGAGCTCCTTCGTTCCATCGTTCCGTCTCTTCCTTGTGGTAGCACGGTGATTGCAGCTGCTTGGCTTTTCCTGGCCTCGGCCAGCTGGGCAAGAAGACACCGCGCCAGGGCCCAGGGATGGTCATGGCTGGGCGTGGTGGTGGTTCGGAGGCACCGCACCGTGTGGGGAGTCAGCGGGGATGCTGGGCCCCAGGTGGTTCTCCGAGGGCGTCTCCGATGGCTGCGGGCCTCCAGGGTCCCAAAACCGTGCGGTGGCGAACCGTGCGGCGATGTCTTCCTGAGGAGCCCCGAGCCTCTTGACATGCTCCGATCGGTGTTCGTTTCCATCCGCGGCCCCAGAGGTCCCGACCGATTCCCCTGGAATAGTTTCCGGCCCAGATACCGAATGGCCTTCGGCCTATCCCTCCACCGTACCTGGGTTGTGGGTATGAAGCCTCTTGGATGTTCGTTGGGATCGCGGTGGAGGCCTCTCGGGAGCCTCTTGGAGGCAGTTTGGAAGCCTCATGGGGGCCGTGTTGGGCCTCTTTGGGGCCTTTTCGACACCTCTTTTGGGCCTCGTGGGGGCCTTTCGGGGCCTCTTGGGGGACTCTTGGGACTTCCTGGGCGCCTCTTGGGTCCTCCTGGGGGCCTCTTGGGGCGGAAGGCTCGGATTTTCTGTTAGTGATCCCTCTCGTGGGCCCCTTTTGGGTCCGTCTTGGGGCGCTCTTAGGCCGTCTTGGGGCCATCTTGGAGGCCCCTTTGGCAGTTTAGGGGTGGCCTTGTGGGCCGCGTGGGGGGATTTGGAGCGTCGGATAACAAAAAGGCGAGAACGCACCAGCATGTCAAAACCTACAGAAATCAATCATGTTTGCCTCTTCGGGCCCTCGTGGGAGGCCTCTTGGAGGCCTCTTGGGGCGTCTTGGAGGCCACTTGGGGCGTCTTGAGGCCATCTTGGTCGTCTTGGAACGATCTTTCGGCGACTCGGGCCCTCTTGGACCGTCTTGGGGGACCGCTTGGGGCCCTCTTGGCCCGTCTTGGGGCCCCCTTGGGACAGAATAAGTCGCGCGGGGCGACGCGCCGGAGCCCAGGTGACACGCCGGGACCCGGGAGCCCCTTGACGAGTCCTCAAGACCGAGGACTGAGGTCCCAGGGGTTAGGCATTCGGCAAAGGACTTGAAGACACGCCCACCCCTTGTCCAGAGGCACGGTGGCAGATTAGTTCGATAGCCCGGGGGCCCGAAGACGGGCCCCCGTCCTTTCGGCGAGGCTGCACCGTTATCCGACGTCCGATGCTTTACAGTTTTCCATGCGCAGTCCTCCTCCTCCTCCTCCTCCTCCTCCTCCTCCTCCTCCTCCTCCTCCTCCTCCCCGCGGCTTCTCATCCTGACTTGTTTTTCGTGACGTTTCCGGGGCCCGGCGAGGGAGCACCGAGGCCAAACACGAGCAAGCACGCCAACGGGTTGGAGGCTTGGTGTTTGGGACCCCCACTCGGCGGCGGAATCCGAACCCGACCCTCGCCGATCAACGATTCAGGCAACCCGACGGGGCAGGGTTCGGAAGTTTCGAAACGTGGCGAAATCCTAACACTACCCCGCCTACCATCGATTCATGAGTAATGATGGTTGGTGGGGGCAGGGTTCGGATGTCGCCACCTATTCCAGGGCCTGGCGAGGGACCCCAGAGGCCGAAAACGGAAAACAACAACAATACAAACAAACAAACAAAAACGACGTCCTGATTTGCTCAATGCGCTGGAGGACCGCCAAGCGGCGCATCCCTCCACAGGCTCAAGGCTGAGGGCGTGCACGCTGGCTGCTCCGCCACCGACCTCGTGGAGATGTCCGAGGGCCTCAAGGTCGCGGAGATGGAGAAGCGACACCACTAGGGGGGCCACCTCCACCGCAGAGGTCCACGATGCCTCCCCGAGGTGGGGATGGGGGATGTCTGGAGCGAGAGGGGGGAACCACACCACCAGGGGTGGTGGTCCCTGGTGGTGGTCCCTGGTGGTGGTGGTGGTGTCCCCTTCCCTTATTCCCACCAGGCGCTGGGCGTGGACGACGAGGGCGCCCTTCGCCCGCTCGGCCAGGAGGCGCTCCGCAGGCGCGGGGAGCTCACGCCCGACGAGTCGCACCGCATACACACCGCGTTCCAGGCGATGAAGCTGCCTCTGCCGCAGGTGCTCACGGGGTCGAGGTTTGAGGTTTTCGGGCGTTTTCGTCGGCTCTCGGTCGGCGGTGTTCTGGCCTCGGGATGCCTTCCGACGGCTGCACCTCGCCAGGGGCGTTCCGGGGGTGCCCAGATCGTCCCGAACGGCCGCCAGGGGCCCCAGCTATGACCCAAATGCCAGAGGGGGCAACCCTAGGGGGGATAGGCTCCAGGGGGGGAAGCATCGACACCCCATCGCCCATGCATCGCCGATAGCGGCCCGATAGCCTGCCCCGCTGGACTTCGAGGAATCGCGATCGGAGGCCCATCGCCGAGCAACCAGCAAGGTATGGCCGATTCAAGGTCGAGGCTTCCCCCCTTGAACTGGTCCCCTCCTGTCTTTACCCCTGCACAGGTGTGGGCAAAGGTAGGGTCTGTCACCAAGCGGGGCTCAGCGCAGATCGTCACCACGCAGGCCTTCGTTCCGCAGGAGGGCCACCAGAAGAAGCGGCGTGGGAACAATGAGATCGAGCGCACCTCGCCCCCGCGGGTGGTGCGCGACTACAAGATGTGCTCTTACTGAGGGCGGCGCCCCCTGTGCTTGCCCAGGGATCCGCAGGAGCTAAGATCCCCCTGGTGTCGCAGGTTTGGGCGAAACGCGGCCTTGCAACCGCTCTTCATCCTCGTACCCCACTTGCACTTCCACTCTCACTCCTACCCTTCATGATCCTACTCCTTCTTCCCCCCCGCCATCATACACAGCATTCGCATTCGATATTATCATCAGCACCAGCCAAAACCTAAGAAACATCATCATCAGCAGCAGCATCAGCATTATCATCACCATCATCAGCATCAGCATCATAATCATCATCATCATCATCATCATCATCATCAGCATCAGCATCATCATCATCATCAGCAGCAGCAGCATCATCATCATCAGCATCATCATCATCGTCGTCATCATCGTCATCGTCGTCATCATCGTCATCTTCGTCATCATCGTCATCACCGCCACTGTCATCGTCATCATCATCAGCAGCAGCAGCATCGCCATCCTTCCCCCAACTCCTACGGCCACGAGAGAATCCCCAGGGCACGCGCCGAGCGCGGCATCACCCCGGGACAACCTGGGTAGCACCGCGCGGGGGTCCGGGCGGGACCCGAACGAGCTCACGCACCGTGCCCTCCACCGGGGCAAGTCGTCTCGCCTCTGCACAGCCCCCGTCCTCCTCCTCCTCCTCCTCCTCCTCCTCCTCCTCCTCCTCCTCCTCCTCCTCCTCCTTCCCCCGTCCTTCTCCCCCCCCTCCTCCTCCTCCTCCTCCTTCTCCTCCTCCTCCTCCTCCTCCTCCTCCTCCTCCTCCTCCTCCTCCTCTTCCTCCTCCTTCCCAACCTCCGACAGATAGGGCCAGGGAGGCTCGGCACACTTCAATCGGCGGCGTGCCAAGGGGGGTAGAGAAGGGGGGGCAGGCCTTCTCGGAAGCCCCCCCCCCGACTTTGAGCAGCCCCCGGATGGATGGCTTCGGAGACGGCTCAGAAAGCTTCTCGGAAGGCTGGGGGCCTTCTGATCCTTCTGAGAAGGCCCGCCCCCAGGCCGCCGACTTTCCAACGGGGCCTTCGATCGACGAGCACTCCAGGTGTCACGCGCTCTGTCCGGTTGGCTCCAGGCTTCGCTGGAGGCCTCCTGCTCCCTCGGGGGGAGGGCCCGCCCCGCCTGCCTTCCCCACATGATGCGCGCCGCACACTCGAAGCACCGCGCAGGGTCGGCGCGAGTGTAGACATGCAAACGACGACGAGGATCAGGAGGACGAGAAATGGCCCCCCCTCTTTCTTTTCTTTCTGCCTTTTTCCTCTTCGTCCTCCTCTTTCTACCCCCCCCCCCCCGCCCTGGGCCTTCATCCCAGGGCCGCCCTGGGTCCTCATCCCGGGGCAGTTTCCCTGTCTCCCCAAACCCGCCCCTGCAGGTCTCAATCCCGGGGCCGCCCGAGCCCGGGGTCGGCACGTCCGGTTTGGAGCAATCTGGTGGTCTCCAGAGGGCCCCCAGAGGCCTCTCGGCTCGAGGACCAGAGAGGCTCCACACGGCCGCCACAGCAGTCCGGTGGCCTCCAGAGGGTCCCCGGAGGCTTCCCCTGCCCCCCCCCTGGCAGGAACAAGCAGCATCACAAGACGTGTTCGCCTGGCACTGCCTCCTCCCCCCCCCCCTCCCTCCCCTCCAGGCAGGCAGGCAGGCAGGGGCGGAGGGCCTGGGACCCCAGAGCAGAACGCGGGCGGCCAGTCGGGAGCCGGCACAGGACTGCCGACTACGGCAGGCCGTCGGCACGGGCTGCGCTTGTCACAAGCTGTGCTTGTGGCGGCGGGGGGGCGTTGGGGCCATTCGGACGCAACTCCTGGGAGGTCAAATTCTGTTCTCGCCCTGGTCCGAAATCCGGCTTAATCCAGCTCAATCCCGCTTAATCCGGCTCCATCTCGCTTAGTCCCGCCTAATCCGGCCCAATCCTGCTTAGTCCGGGGCCCGCTCCGGCGCAACAGCTCCCGAATGGGGCTTAAGCATCCCTGATCTTTCCGGATAAAACTTCCCAGCAGTTGCCTCCTATAGGGACCAGAGCCAGGACGCTCCGTCAGCAGCGAGGGCAGGCGCTAGCGCGCTCGAGCGGCCGACGGGCCGCGCCGGGCGGTGGATGCCACAGGACAGCTGGAAGATAAGAGGGCGGCCGCAGGGTGAGAGGAGGCCTTGGGCGTACCCATCGGTCGTTGAAAGTAGGTGTTGTGTTGTGGAGGGCGATCAATGGAGAGGAAGCACGTCGCCAAATACTTCCCAGATGTCTAAAACATGTGTTAAACATGTTCCAAACATACACAAAAAACACGTTTAGAACATTGTTCCGACATGTTAACACATGTTAAATTCAATGATTGGACTGTTAGGGTGTACATTGTCGTGGCATCCACAACTATTGTGGGATTCCCAGTTCCAATCTACTTTAGGCGCCTTCTTGCTTCAATGATCGAGTGGCTTCACCGTGTCCGTCCGCTTCAGGGGGCGCGTGGAAGCCCAGTCTACTTTCACCGCCTTCCTACTTCATGGTTCTACCTGCTTCTTCCAACCGATGGGTAGAGGATCTACGCCACGAAGGGCGCGTACGCAGCCTCAGGCACCGGGAGCCAGTCTACTACCGGATGCCAGTGTACTCCCAGGTTGAGCGGGAGAGTGCAGGTTGCCGAAGGTGGGGCAGCGCAGGGGGCCACCAGAGAGGCACGGCCGTCAGAACAAAAGCACACCTGCGGCCAGGAGCGTTTGCTGAGCGTGTCGCCCCGCCGGTCCTGGCACGGGTTGGCGCTGACGCGGGTCAGCGCCTACCCGACCACCCATCAGGCAGGCTGAGGATGAGGATAAAGCGCTCCAGAGCGTTCCGAAACGCTCTCAAAGCACTCCGGAGCGCTCTGGGATGGCCGCGGCGCCGTATATATCCTCCAGACCCGCCTGCTCTCGGAGACTCCCAATTAGAATGCTTATCTGGATTTGTCCTCATCCTGCCTTGGATTTATTTGCAGTCAGGAACGTTTGCTATGCGTGTCGCGCCGCCGGTTCTGGCCCATCCACGCTTCGGCGCAGCATTTCCAGCTCGTCCAAGTTCCCCAGTGTCAAGAAGTGGCGAGGCGTCGCGACTTGACTATTGGCCCACCAGAGGCTGTTCTAAGGACCCTTTTGAGGTTTGCACGAAATGTTATCAGAACATCTCTGGCTTGGGCTGTCTTGTTTTAACACATTGGGCTTACGTTCTGGGAGCTTTGGTTTAGTTCTTACAAGAATCTTGGGTTATGAGAGCACTTTGTAGTAGGCCTACAGGAATGCCCGGACGGTTGGTCCCTGCTCAAAAGTGTCAACTTCCCGATCTTTTGCCGTCCTCCTGCCGAGCGGAGCGGCACGACGTCGGCTCGCAGGGCATAGCGGGTCTCCGAGGCCGCCGCCACGACACGCTCTGAAAACAAGACGGCCGTAAGCGTCGCAATTGCGGAGAGGAGTCGGGGGCGCCAGGGCTGCCCTGCCGCGCCTGCGGGGGGCTCGAGCGCCAATGTTCGGAAGCCTGCCGCAGGCGCCGACTTCCACTCTGAGCCATCCGCCCGCCGCGGGCGCCAATCTGATTGGAAAACGGCCCGGGTGAGTCGGGCAGTCGACGAGCCGCGATGCTTCAGAGCGCCGCAGGGGGTCGCTGCTGGGTCGTGGGGCGGGTCGTGGGCGGGTCGAGGGTGGGTCGCGGGCCGGTCGCGGTTGGGTCGCCCGTTGGGTGATTCGCGGGTGGGCCAGGCCACGGTGATATCAAAAAGGGCAACAAGAGGAACAGCAGGCATTTCAGTAAGGCTCGTGCTCATCTGCTCACGCGTCGTTCGACACGTGCACCCCGAAGTCTGCATCTCCCGCCCGCACAGTCCACGTGCGTACCCCCTCTGGGGGGTGGCTTCTCTTTCTCGTATCTGGAACTGGGCGAATCAGGAGGGGGAAAAACACACAGACCCAATGCGTTGTCGATTCCTTCGAAAATGCTGGGAAATATGGGAAATGGATGGGAAGACGAAAATCCAAAACACATGGAAACATATGGTGGATCTTGTGATTTGTGTGTATTCATTTGTGTGTCCTTGGGCTGCTTCAGTGAACGCCGACTCGGGCAGACAACCGGGTGGTGTTGGCAGGCGGGCGAGGCGGGCGGGCGGGCGCCGTGGCGCGCAGGCCGGGCGAGCGGGCCCCGACGGCCCGGGCGGGCGGGCGGTCCCCGGCGAGCGTGCCCTGGCGGGCGGAGCGGGCGGGTCGGGCGGGGCGCGCCCCAACAGGCGGCTCGCGCGAGCGGGGCCTGAAGTCGATTAGACGTAAGAGTGGCCTTTCGCCGGAGTGGCCTTTGGTGCGGGCACAGATGGGCCCTCGGGTGGCTGAAAACGAAGCGGTAGCAGCGGCTTGCGCGCCCAGGTTTGGTCCCCTTGCGGCCCCCAGGAAGCCGCGCACTAGAGGTCACTCTTGCCCAGGGTCACTCTTGCGTGTAGCCGACCTCACAGGCGGCTCGCGCGAGCGGGGCCCGAAAGCGGGCGGGCGGTCTCCCAGCCAAAAGAGTGGGCCGACGTTGCCGGGCGGGTCGGGCGGGCGAGCCCCGACGGCCACGCCGGGCGTGTGCCCCCGAGGGAGGGCATCAGGTCAAGCAGCGGCGAAGCGTCGGGGCTCGCCTACAGCCCTACCAAACAATGTTCTGAGAGCCTTTTGTGGCTTCCGCGAAAGGTTCTTGGAACATGTCTGGTTGAGGCTGTCTTGTCTTAACACGGCCAATGTTCTAAGAGCATTGTGTTTTCTTGGAAGATTCTTGGGTTCTAAGAACATTTCGTGGTAGGACTGTAGGAATGCCAGGACAGTCGGTCCATTCTCAATCAGGGCGTGCTTCTGTGGCAGGCCGCTGGAAGTGCCAGGCGGGAGGGCAGTGCCTGAGCGTCGGCGGCGCGCCCGGGGGGGGAAGGCCTCCGTCCTTCTGAGAGGTTTCCTGTGTCTTCGGGGAAGGCTCAGAACATTCTTCAGAAGGCCAGGGGACTCCCGAGCCTTCTGAGAAGGCCCGCCCGCCCCTTCTCAATTCCCGCCCGGGCTGGCCGACGAGAGTGGAGAGGCAGGGTGCGCAGGTGAGTGGCAGCGAGGTCCTGGGCGAGAGCGCGGGTCTTGACTGTCAGAATCGACATTGCGCGCAGGTCCCAGGCGAGATTACGATTATTGGATCAATGATCGACGGATTCTCAAGACGTCTAAATTGTCATTCTTGTTGACACCCTCGTCCGGTGCCCTTTTCGTATTTTGTCAGTTGAAGTGCCCACTTCTGGGGCTCGCACCCTGTTGCTTGTTTTTTCCAACAGGGGAGAACTTAAGCCTCAAACTGTGTTCTGGGCCTCTGGATTACAACAACCCCAGCTTGATACGTCCTCGCAAAATGTTCTGAATCGCGCTCGCTCGCTCGCTCGCTCGCTGGAGACTTGACAATTTACCCAGGAATCGCGCTCCTGCCGAAGACATCTTCGCATTTACTGAGGAGCTGTGCTCTCGACGTTCAGGCATTGCACCCTCGCGTGAGACTGCCTCAACATTTCAACAGGACTCGCGCTCTCGCCTGTGATGTCCACACAGTGCACAAACTTTGCCTCACCACCCTGCCCACGAGAGCCTCTCGTGAGGGCCCGCCCGCCCGACCCGCCCGTTTTGGTTTTGGTCAGCCCACCCAGCCGGCCTTTGAGGGTTCGCCCAAATGTTTCGTTTGGAAGCCCGCCCGCAACTTCCGAGGCCCCGCCCGACCTGCTCGTTGCGGGTCCGCCCGCCTGGGCCGCCCGCCAGGGTCCCCCCTGCCCGACGCGCCCGTGAGCGCCTGCCCGTCTGCATGCACAGAAGCTCGCCCGCACGCCTCCACGCCCCGCCGATTCGGCCCGCCAGTTGGGGCAGGCCCGCCCGTCGGGCTCCGCTTGCCATGATGATGGTTCCTCTCGCCTCGCCCCCCTGCTAGATCTTCTTCGCCCTCAGTTGTCCTCTCTTCCTCCTTGCCCCCCCTCCAATATGGTTTCCGCCTCCTTTCCTCGATCTCGCCCTCTGCCGCTTCCTTCTTCCCTATCTTGTATTAGTGGCCACGCCAACCACACGTGGAAGGCAAGGAAGACATACCCCCTAAGGGGGTCCGATCGCAGACGAATGGAGTGGGTGTCGAGGGTTTGGGTTCTACATATTGAACGACACGCGGGCAACGTCGAGCGAGCAGTCTTATAATAATTTCTGTTGTGGTCCAGGGAGCGGGGAAGTGCGAGAGTCAGGGGCCCTTGCCGATAAGGACAAGTTCGGAAGTTGCGCCAGTCGGGGGAAGAACAATTATACATATATATATATATATGTATAGATATATATACACATATTCATGACAGGCAATAGTGCGTCACCAGATACTAACTTTCCATACTGCGCAAGTCTCCTACACGCAACATGAAACATGCATCATCAAGAAGGTCATGGAGCCCGAGAAGCCGCGACGCCCCATTTCAGCCACGCTCCCGGGGGACAGTGTAAGACCGCCGGGCCCCCCTCCATTCTGGCGTGCACACGTGTGGAGCCCGTCGGCCCGCCAGTGCCGAGGTGGACGCTTCCCAGGTGGCCCGCAAAGATTCCAAATAAGCAAAGACACAGACTCCTCCTCCTCCTCCTCCTCCTCCTCCTCCTCCTCCTCCTCCTCTTCCTCCTCCTCCTCCTCCTCCTTCTCCTCCTCCTCCTCCTCCTCCTCCTCCACACACAGACACAATCACACATACACACACACGCACGATCACTCAAACGCATACCCTCGTTCCCCCCGCCCACCCTCGGGGCTGGCCAGAGGCACGAGAACTAAAGGCGATGACGACGACGACAGTGACGATAGCGGAACAGGATGACGATGACGCCGACGATGATGACCGACGACCGACGACGACGACGAAGACGACGACGACGGCGACGGCGACGGCGACGGCGACGACGACGACGACGACGATGGACGACGGACGACGGACGGCGGACGACAGAGGAGGACGAGAACAAACCGCACACGGCGACGACGACGACAGCGACGGCAGCGGAACAAGACAACCACGACGACGACAACGACGACGACCACGACCACGACGGACGACGACAGAGAAGGACGAGAACAGACAGCGACGGCGACGGCGTCGACGGCCAGCAGCAGCAGGAGGAAGAGGCCCGCGCGCGCCAGGCACGTCAAGGCCTGCAGGGGCGCGCACGGCGGCAGGAGACCGTCCCGGCCTCGGGTACCGCCCGGCTTCCCGCGGGCATGGGAGAGGGCAGGACCATTGAGACTAGGCCATTTCCACGCAGGGCCCCCAGGGGGAATCACCACTAGGGAAGTCACCCGCTCCTCCTGAGCACCGAGGCTCCAGGATTGAATCCCGAGAGGGTTTTTGGGCATTGAAGGTCTTTTGGCGGGGCGTTTGGGAAGGTTCTGGGGCCCCAGTTCTCTGAGGCAGTGGACGTTCCTTGCAGAAGTGGCGCCGGCTGGCCCCTGATGCCAGGGCGCTGCCAACTTGTGCGGCAGGTGTTCGCCGTGCCGACCTGGCTGTGTTCACGTCGTCGAAGGAAGAGGGAGGGAGCAGGTTTTCACGGGTTCTCGGAGGTTTTCTCGCTTTGGGGCGCTTGTCAGCGGTTGCGCCTCGAATCGTGGGTTCCCGGCCCCATCAGTTGGCAAGTTGGCGATGTTCAGAAACCCCGAGGGGCAGCCTGGATCCCCGCTTCGAGGAACAGCAAGCCGCATGAGCATCATTTCTCGAAGCTCCGCGCGGATTTCTTGGATCAGCGTTGGACCATTATTCTTCTCCGTCTTCTTATTATCATTACGACTATCACATTCGTATTATTGTTAGTCGTATCAGTCATATGAAGGCTATTTTCATTAAAAGCAGGATTATCATCATTGATCTAATACCCATCGTTATTATCATTGTTCTCCTATTAGAATTACGATTCGTAAGCATGACTCATTCGTATTGCTGTGATTGATTATTCCTGTTTTTCTTCGATGTTCATTATCCTGCGGCCCATGCTTACCTCTCCTTCTTCGAAGTGCGCGATGTCTTTCTGTGCTTCGGCCCTTCTGCTGCTCCTCCACCCCCACTCGAGCCTGGACCCCCCGGTGCTGCGGCCGCCGAGGCCAGGGCAGCCCGGCGGGCCGCCGCCCGCGAGTGCCGCGGCGGCGCCTCAGGAGGCGGCGCTGCCCGCGGCGGCGGCGCCCCGTGCGCCGGCCGCCGAGAGGCGGGGAGGGGGGGAGGCTTACGTCGCTGGGGCTCAGCCCAGACCTCCTCGCGTGGTGGAGAAGTCACGACGCGAGGTTTTCCCTTATTTTCGGCCGCCAAAAGCAAGTCAGGATGAAAAACCGGTCCCGGGGAAGGGATCCAGACCTCCTGGGATTGACGTAGCGAAAAAGGCACGGCGTCGGAGGTCTGGGAAGAGACGGGGGTCAATGCAAACGGGGGTCGGCCAGAGCGCAAGTTTTCGTCAGGATCCTGCAAGATGCGGGACTGCACTGACCCGAGTCAGGTCGCAGGATCTTGCAGGATCCTGCAGGCTTTTGCCGGATCTTGCAAAGCCTGACTGGCCTGGGTCTGTATTGACCCGGGTCAGTAGATCTCCGAAGTCGCCATGGGGGAAGCCGGTCTTGAGGGAAACGGGTCTCAGGCTTCTCCCCGTTTTCAAGCTCTCAGGATCCTCCACGGGCCCCGGGACTGTCAGGAAACGACTCACAGGAGGACAAAGCTTGCTCTGGGGGCAGGACCTGGCGTCCAGGACAAGTTTCCCTCAGGACCCGCTTCCTCCATGCTAAGCAACGTAGGGGGAGGTGGAGGGAGGAGGGGAAGGAGTAGCGAGCAATTTGACGGGCTGGAGGAGGGGGAGGAGTCCAGCGCCGTTCCAGGACATCCTCGCACACTTCGTTTGGTGATTATGCTCGTCGCCTGGTTATTCTTATTTTGTTAATTTCTGTTGCGCATAGTTTTGTGAGTATTAACGTGGTTATCAAGATCCGCATTCTTATTATTTTCATGAGTCGTCGTTTTCTTTTGATGCTCATTTGTAGTATGGTTCCCCTTTATGGTTATTGTTTGTCATTCGTATTCTTCTGCTTTTTGATAGAGGCCCTACGAGGGCGCCCCATGTTCCGATTCACCCACCTCCAAAAACAAAAGCCCTACCCCCCCTCCCCCCCCACCTGGCCAGGAAAGGGGGGAACGGTAGGGAGTGTTCTTCTCTTTAGAGCAGGGTCTATGAGGTTGGTTCCGTCGGGATCCTATAAAGTTCCCATGCGGCGCCTACAGGGTTCTGCAGGGTTCGTAGAGGGCTCCCATCAGGTTGTGGAAGGCACCTATAGGTTTTGCAGGGATGATCGATGGTCTTCTTCGGAACCGTAAAGGTTCCTTGCGTAACCCAATCGGAACCATGTAGGACCTCCACGAATCCTCATAGGAGCGTAAGAGGATCACCAGGGCACTTCATGGGAGCATTCTAGTTTGTCACGGAATCCTGCGGAAATTCTAATGGGTCCTTCGAGATTCCGAAGGAGTCCGATACTGAGGAATCTGTCGGGGATTCCTCGGGAACCCCAAGGAAACCCAAAAGTACGCAAAGAAACCCAAAGGAAACAATTGGGAATCCTGAGGACCCCTTAGGAAATCCGTCGGGGTTCTCTACGCAATCCTTCGGGGCTCTCCATGGAATCCCCAGGAAACCGAAGGATTGCCAACGATCCCTTGGGGACTCCTAAGGAGTCCCGAG